AACCTGAGAACCCTATGGTGGGAAGATTTGGGAATTTCTGGTACTGGGGCGCTTCACAAAACACTGATGGTGGTTTGAGATCTCGAGACAATGCATATCCTGTGTGATGTGACCCAGTGGTGGGCAAACCAAAAAGCTTGCTCCCGAGAATTCCAAATCCCTTTTAATACATATCCTTCTGCTGTTACTATTCTATGCTGTGTGATAAAACTGTCCTATGAGTATAAACCATTAAATTTTATGAGTCATTTCTACAAATACTTATGTTTAGTTGTGTATAATTTGCATAGTTTGACATCCAGATGATCTATTGGGGCTTCATTTCTCAATTAAAAAAATAAACTTTATTAAAATATCATTTAGATACAGTAAAATGTGGCCATTTAAGGTAGATTTTTAGGCATTTTAAAAAATGTATAACATGTAGCCATTACCACATTTAAGACATAGAACTTTTCTGTGACTTGGTTCCAAAAGCTCCCTCTTGCCCCTTTGAAATTCCCCTTGTCAAATATTAACAGCAAATGGAAAAATGTAACATCTATGGCTTGAGAAGGTCTTGGTGATAAAGGTCTTTCACACTTCAGGAATAAGATCTCAACCATTACACCAGTTGAGCTCCATAGGTTCACAGAGATGCTGCTGTGAGGGTAAAAGCTGAAGGTGAGAGAAATCAGAATGGGTGGGAGAAGGGGAAGATGCTAAGTATTAGTTATGCCCTTAAGACTGGCTATTATGTTACCAGTAAAAAGACAGCATCCAGTCTCCTAGATTTACTTACTATACACTGTATGTGGATCAAGCAGTGCCTGGGATGGCATATAGTAGACATGTTGGTGTGCCACCCAGATGTCCCTTCAAGACTGGGGCACCCATTTCCCAAGTTGTTGGGAACATTGGTGATTAAAATTTCTCAGCTGAGTGCCTTCATGGGAAATGTCCTCAGCCAAAGCAAAGGTCACACATCTTGTTTAGGTACAGTGGCAGCTTGTACCAATGACTGTCCTTGTGGTGGTATAAAGGCCTACCCCACCCCCTTGCCTCACGATGGTGAAACCCTCAAGAACCATCTTAATTTTCTGCAGGACTGACCTTTGCTGTTGCTTCATTACAGTTCAATAACCATTACAACTAAATGCTACTTCTTTCACTTGAGCATTGGTGTTGATTCCAAGTGTACACCCTATAAATTCCCTGAATACAATCTTAGAGTCAGTTTCCTAAAACCTAATCTAAGATAGCACTTAATTATGTGGTTTACAGAAAGGGGAACCACCTAATGTCTAATAAAAAGTTACTATAACTGCTAATAAGCAAATACATTAAAGATGAACTAAGTAAATTGGTCAATACCCGTAGTCATAGACTAGAAGTCTCAAAAATCAATGGTGTTGAATCAAAATCCCAGCAAGTCTTTTTAAAACTACAAATTGTTAGGTAATTCTAAAGTTTATATGAAGAAAGAATAGAAACTTCGGGACACCTGTTCAAATTTTTACTCTGTCCAAGAATGGATTAGTCCTGCTAAATTCTGGGAAAGGGAGGGATAATTGGCAGAATTTAGTTAGCTTTCAGTACTCCTATTTTTAGGGTGATTAAGTGTCTTTTTCTTATTACAAATACAGAGGACTGTCCTCCAAACAGCTTTCCGCTACTCCTGCAGGCAGTGAATTACAATGAAAAGAAATATGTACTGAACCCTCAAGTGTCACAGAGGTACTGAAGAAATCTAGACGGCCCTGGGGGCTCGTTTCCAACCCTCCCTTTCAGTAGTTCATCAGACAGATGGCTCAGTAGGTCTGAGTTAGCATAAGAGTGTAAGACTAATCATTTCTTTGATTCTGGAGCCACTTTTGTTTTAGACTCACATAAATGTTTCTTACTTTTCTTCCCTTAAAAGTAGCGCTTTACAGCCCTGGCTGGCGTAGCTCAGTGGATTGAGCGTGGGCTTCGAACCAAAGTGTCGCAGGTTTGATTCCCAGTCAGGGTACATGCCTGGTTTGCAGGCCATGACCCCCAGCAACCGCACATCGATGTCTCTCTCTCTCTCTCTCCCTCTCTCTCCCTCTCTCTCTCCCCCCCTTCCTTCCCTCTCTAAAAATGAATGAATAAAATCTTTAAAAAAAAAAGTACAGCTTTACAACAGCAAGGAGTTCCTCTCTATAAGACACTGGCCCTGAACCTGCAGTCCAGCCATGCCTGGCCTGAGCACAACTTTCCCTGGAATACAGAGAGTCCAGAGGTCTGCCTATAATCTTCTGCTTATCAGCTTGTAAATTCTGTCCTCAGTAAGCCTCATTTTACACCTGTACTTTGTGGTACTCGTGGCCTGTCCATGCCTCTTTTTAAAGCTGATAATTTCCAGCACAGACTACTTAAACTTCATCCAGGTTCCTCTTAGTTTAAAAATTCCATTGTTTGGTTAATTTAAAGAGTTTGGAATATTACTTCCCAGGTTCTTGTTCTGTGCTCTTCTCTAAATTGAATGGAATATGGTTTTCAGGAGGAAAACAGCACTGGCGTGGGGCGTAGAAAACAGTGTTCAGCCAGGGTGGGTGGGTAAAATGAAACTAAATTGTGTTTACAAAGATACCATAAAGGACATATCACTGTTAACAGAGCAAGAATTCCCCTTAGGTTTGTCCCAGCCTTCTCATGATGCCAGGGAAAGATCCAGGGAAAACGCATATAGAAAAGCTCTTGGGCTCAGATATCATCTCAGACGAAGGCATGTCTTGTTGGGACATGTCTCAGGCAAACAGCACAGAGTCCTTTTGGGTGACGCAAGGTGTAGCTGCAAATGAATTTTATAATACATGAAACAGATACCCTGTTGTTTTTTTCATGAAGGAATTTTGATTTCATATCAGCCAGAAAAAAATGTTCCATTGGCAGGCAATAGATGGAAGCTGTGCTTAACAGGGCACCCACTTTGACTGTAGTTCACCTGTTACCAACTGTTGGTGGAAGCACACTGTTAAGTCACCTTCAGACACAGAGATGACTTTCTGAAGAACCGGAAGGAAATTTTCTCTGGATCCTGGAGCTCAAGTAAGTGATCAGATTGTGAATGACGGTTAAGGACAAGGCTATCTCCTGCCTCCTGAAGCCTGGTGTTTGTGCTCCTTTTAGTTCTAATTCCGTGAGGCCTCCCCAGTCTTTTCATCAAAAGAAAAGTAATGTCTGCAATGTAGAAAGTTAAGAGTCAGTGAGGTGTTTCAAAAGAGAAGATCTCCTTTCAAATTTTAGTATTGGATTGCTAATAATTAAAAACTGGGCCTATCTGCCCGAGTCCCAGAAATGGTGCCCCTGCCCCAGTCTCTTTTGTAAAGAACTCAAAGAAAGCTTATAGCGGATGCCAGTGTTTTAGACCTGATCTAAATGGTACAGTTGTTAATATCACTACCTCCCAAAAGGCTATTATTAAGATTTTAGTGTACTTTAAAAGTAGACGTTACAAAAAACAGATTTATTGCAGTATAATTCATATGCAACAAACTACATGTTTAAGGTGAATTGTTCAAGTTTTATCTGTGTATATGCCTGTGAAATTATCACTAATCAATATAATAAACATATCTATCACATCTAAAAGTGATGAAAAATTCAAGTACTTTTGTAATTGTTCCCTTCTCTTCATTTTTCCTTCCTTAGGCAACCACTGATCTACTTTTATGGATATTATTTGCAATTTCTAGAATTTTATATTCATGAAGTCACACAATATGGACCATTTTTTTCTGTCCAACTTCTTTACCACAGCACAATCCTTTTGAGATTCACATGTCTGTAAAAATAGTTTATTCCCTTTTATTATTTGATATAGATGTAGCACAACTTATTTGTCCATTCATCATAAATAAAATTTTGAATTATTTCAAGTTGTTGACAAATATAGCTGTTATTGACACTTGGATACAAGTTGTAAAACAGACATGTCCTTTTATTTCTTGTAGTTGGCTTTTAAAAATGAATATTTGTCTTTCACAGATTCAAGGTTTGAGTTGCTGATTCTGAGTAGGAGTAGTAAAGTATGGAGATACCAGAGCAACTATAAATCATCTAGAGATTACTACATCTCTTAGGAAATTGTAATCTTTATTTCTGGATGCTGTGCCAACTTACCTACACAAATGTGAGTAGTTTGTTGGGCTGGTGTTGCTGATAATCATTTGTCTTATCTGTCAGATATGTAAAATATTAAAATATAAAGCACCATAACTTTGATTTTTTTCACATTGGCTTTATATAGGCCACATAGACTTCTCTCTTTTTTTCAATAGTAGATAGATTTAGTTAGTGCCTAGGACCATAGGAATTTGTTCCTTCAGATCTTGACTCATTTCTTTAGCACATGGCTATCTATGATTTTTATAAAGTCCTACATCTCCCTTTAAGATATATATTGCCTGAGCCACTCTTTGGTTGTTGGTTTTATGTATTTTTTTTACTTATTGACCCTGTGAATCAACTCATGTTTGTGACTATGAATTAGAGCAGGTTGCACATAAAACACAGGATGTCCAGTTAATATTTCAGCAACATTTTCTTTTTAATAAATAATATATAAAATTATTAACAAGCCTTTTCAGTGCCACCACAGTTTGGTCTTGTCCTAATTGTTCAAAGAAATGAATTTAAAAAATACTTTCCTTACTTTACCATGCACATTTATGCATTTGTGTGTTTGTACTTGCCATTTTTTTCTCTCCCTCAGTTCATTCACTTGAATATTTTTTCTGCTCCATTTGTTATGCCTACTGGAGAAAATGTTCACTTAGCAGGTTAGGTTACAAAGTGAGGGATAAAAAGTGAAGTGTGACTTAGTGGGAGAAAGGAACTGAAAAGACCTTTCTGATCAAACACTTTAGGGAGACTCGTCATTTTGTTGAACACTGAGAGGTTGTCCCCTCTCAGGTTCTTGATTGAATTTCATGTATCTTGACAATTCCTACTAGTATATCATAGCCTATGACTTTCTTCTTGTTTTTTTTCTAGGCATGATGACGCCTAAGTACTCTTATTTTTCTGGGTATTATGTGGGCTTTCTTTTCCTACAAGTGATGACATCAACACCAGGTGAGAACATCTCCTTTTTTCTTACTGAGTCACACTATGGAAGGAACCTCGGGCAGACTTGCAGTGTTCAGTTCAGCATGGAAAGAGCTTGGAAGTCATCATTGCCTCCTAACATCAAGTTAAAAAGCCGGAAAAGCCCCTCGAAAATCAACAAGTCTTTTTAGATCCAATAGGGGAGTGAGGTCATAGGACAAATTGCTGTCCCCCAAATGGCAAGTTAGACAAATGGCAGAGTTAGAAACTCACAACTTTCAGAGCAGAACTCTCTGTGGGAACCAGAAGTAAGGTAGGAAGATCTAAGCTGTGATTACTGAATTGCTGGGGGCTCACTGTGGACAAGTCTGAGTTAAAGACTTTAAGAAGGCCCATATCAGTTGAACTCACTTTTGTGAATTTTACCTCCAGGATTTTTACTAGGATCTCACAGTGAATAATGGAGAAAAAAAATCCTCTTATGTTTTAGGCAGAGAGAGGTGAAGAGTAACCATTTTTTGAAATATGATCCCCTTAATAAGACCTGTCTTCAAGAGACTACTTTACCAGAGACTAAACTATCAGTGTTTCATCAGTCTGACTTGGAGATAGAGAAATATCCAACTTCAGCCCATCTAAGGGTGAGGAGGAGACTGAAATGCACTTATGAAGTTCACAGCCAAGGACATAGGCTCAATAAAAGACTGAGGTCTAATCACAGGATTAAAGGGTACTGTCCTCCCCCTACACTTATTCTATCACTAAAAACCTTTAATCAGAGTTCTTTTTACCCATTCTGCCATGTTCAGCTTTCAGAAAAAAGTTGCAAGGCATAGAAAAGGCAAAAAGTACAGTTTAAAGGGACAGAGCAAACATCAAATCCAGACTTTGATGTAGTAACATTTTGGAATTGTCAGATTTGGAATTTAATATAATAATTATATTTACTATGCTAAGGGCTCTAATGGAAAAAGCAGGCAACTTGCAAGACCAGATAAGAAATGCAAGCAGAAAAATGTAAATTCTAAGAAAGAATTTAAAAAATTATAGAGATCAAAAACATTGTAGCAGAAATGAAGAATACCTTTTATGGACTCATAGTAGACTAGATGTAAATGACGAAAGAATATCTTGAGTAAGAAGAAATATCAATGGAAACTTTCAGACCTGAAAAACAAATAGAAAAAAAGGAGTTTTAAGAGAAAGAGAAAATCCAATAAATGTGAGACGATATAAAAAGTGAGCTATACATATAATGGGAATAACAGAAGATAAGGAAAAGAGAAAGGAATAGAAAAATATTTGAAACAATAGTGACAAAGAATTTCCCTAAATTAATGTCAGGCACCAAACCATACATCCAAGAAGCTTAGAATACACTAAGCAGGATAAATACTAAAAACCAACCAACCAACCAACCAACCACAATAACAACAAAGTTACATTAAGGCCTATCATATTAAAATTGCAGAAAATGAAAGAAAAAGTCTTGAAAGAAGCAAGGGTAGAAGCTCAGTTCACTTACAGGATTTACAAGAAATGTTAAAAGAAGTTCCATATCACTGCCCCTCCTACCAGTCTGAATGGATGTGGTTTCTTTAATTCTGTAGTTATCAGACTTCCATTCAGCTTGATTTCTGACAGTTCTGAGTGATGGTTGTCCTAGTTTAGCTGTAATTTTGGTGTGGTTGTGTGAGGAGGCAAGCCGTGTTTAGTTATGCCTTCATCTTGACCAGAAGTCCTAAAAAGTCTTGGTTATTGTAAGGTATTTGCATTACCCATAAAACAGTATAGTGTGGCTTTTAAAATACCTATTGAGAAACAATTCTCCATTTTTCCCTCCTTTCAGTCACAAAAAACTATCATTCTACTCCCTGCTGCTATGAGTTTGACTATGCTAGATACCTCATATAAGTGGAATCATGCAGTATTTGTCCTTCTATAACTGGCTTATTTAATTTAATATATTATCTTCCAGGTTCATTCATGTTGTAGCACAGGAAACAATGTTATTTTTTAAGTCTGAATAGCATCCCAGTTTTGTATCTGTCACACTTTTCCTCTTGTAAGCTGAAATTCTGTATTAAAAGTGGGTTTCTTGTAGACAACATATCATAGGGTTTTTTAAAATTACTCTGACAATATCTGTCTTTTAATTGGTATATGGGGACCACTGATGTTTAAAGTGATTATTGATATAACTATAATAATATCTAACATTTGTTATTTTTTCTATTTATTACCCTTTTTCTTGGCTGTTATTCTTTTTTGCCATATGTGGTTTTATTTTCTATCAAGTATAAATTTTCACTTTGGTAAAATACACATAAAATTATGTTAACTATCTTAACTAATTTTAGTTGTACAGTTCATTAATATTAAATACATAGCATTGTGCAATCATCACTATGTTTTCATCTTGCATAGATTATCTTTTTCTATCTCTTCACTGTAAACTCATTTGAGTCTGTGGATCTAAGTAAGTCTTTTGCAGATAGCATATGGTTATATGTTGTGTTTTTAGAAGTAATGATTTACTTTAATCATTTTGTTATTTATTTTTTGTATGCCATTTAGCTTTATTGTCTCTCATTTTCCTCACTACCTTCTTTTCAAAAACAGATTTTATTTATTTTTAGAGAAAGGGGAAAGAAGGGAGAAAGAGAGGGAGAAAAACATCAATGTGCAAGAGATTCATCGATTAGTTGCCTCTCACACACCCCCAACTGGGGACCTGGCCCATAACCCAGGCATGTGCCCTGACTGGGAATCAAACTGGCGACCTTTTGGTTTGCAGTCCGACACTCAATCCACTGAACCACACCAGCCTTCTTTGTTTATGTTTAGTTGATTGTTTGTATTGAAACATTTAAATTCCTTCCTTATTTCTTTTTCTACATACTCTTTAGGTATTTTGGAGGTTATCATAGGGACTGCATTTAAAATCCTGAAATAATAACACTCTAATTTGAATATATAACAGCTTAACTTTAATAACATAAAAAACTTTTTCTTTAACTGCTCTGTAACTATCCCTTTCACTTGGTGATACAAAATTATATCTTCAAACATTGTGTGCCCTAAGACATAAATTAATAATTCTTTTAATTGCATTAATCTCTTATATAATATAAAATGTGGACTTACAAACCAAAGTTACAATAATGCTAGCTTTTAGACTAATAACTTAAAAAACATTAGTCTTTTAAATGACATAGAAAACAAAAAGTAGAGCTTGAAATTATTGTTATACCCTGGCCAGGTAGCTCAGTTGGTTAGAGTATTGTGTATACCAAGGTTGTTTGTTCAATCCCCAGTCATATCTCTCTCTTTCAAAAAAAAATCGATCAGTAAAAAAGAAACCATTGTTATAATAATAATAGCTTTTATAATTGCTCATGCATTTACCTTTATTGGGTACTTCATTTCTTTAGTTTCAGGTCACTGTTAACTCCCTTGAGCATTATTTTGTCATTGTAGGGCAGACCTAGTAGTTACAAACTCCCCCACATTTTTCTGGAAATGTCTCAACTTCTTACTCACCTTTGGACACTTTGCTGGACATATGATTCTTGGCTAACAGTGTTTTGTCTTGTTTTCCTTTCAGTACTTTGTATATATTTTTCCATTGCCTTCTGGTTTCCAAAAGGTCTGATGAGAAATCTGCTTATACTCCCTCGTATGACATGAGTTGCTTCTTCTTTGCTACTCTCAAGATTTTGTCTTTTGAAAGTCTGATTTGAAAGTGTCTACTTGTGATTCTCTTTGAGTTCTTCTTAGATTTTGTTAAACTTCATGGATGTTTAGAGTCATGTCTTTTATTGCATTTAGGGAGCTTTCAGCCATTATTTCAGCCAATATACCAAATGTTTTCTCTGTCTCATTCTCTCTCTCTTCTCCTTTTGGGACTCCCACAATAAGCATATTGGTCTAGTCAATGATGCCCCACAAATCCCTTAAGCTCTGTTCACTCTTTTCAATCTTTGTTCTTTCTGTTCCCCAGACTTAATAATTTCCATTGTCCTGCTTTTGAGTACACTGATTCTTTTTCTTTCTGTTTAACTCTGCCTTTGAATTCCATCAGTGAGGTTTTCATTTCATTTCAATAAAAAACATTATCAGTTGTGGTTTTTTAGCTCCAGAATTCCTTTTTGTTTTCTTTTCAGGTTTTTAGGTCATTATTTATATTTTCATTTTTTTCTTGACTTTCTCACCTCTTCCTATGGTTTTCTTTCTTTTTTTTTTAACATCTTAAGATACTTCTTTTAAAATCTTTAATTGTAGATCTGCCATTGGGTCTTTTTTCAGAACAGTTTCTGTTTGAGTTTTTTGTCCTTGGAATGTGCCATATTTTCCTGTTTCTTTGTATATTTTGTGAATTTTTTAAATGGAAACTGGACATTGGCATTTAATGTGTTAACTCAAAACTTCATTCCTCTCTTTTCCAGGATTTGTTGGCTTTTTGTTATTGTTTTGTTTATTGTTTTTGTTTTGTTTTATTTTATTGTTGTAGGCTGTCTGTGTGCCAAGGATCACTATGAGGTGTAAACTTCAGGTCTCCTCAAGCTTTTATAAGCCTGTCCCTTTTCGTGGACATGTGTGGTCACTTTCTAATTTCCCCCATATATGCATTTGCTTTTAAATATTCTAATCTTTAATGTCTGGCTCTTAAAATGGGAAAAGAGAAAAATGAATTGTTACCAAACAGCAAGTGGGGACCTGCTGCTGGCTGCCACCCTCTAGGCAAAATTCCAGAGGCAAAAATTTGATAATAAAGGAAAGGAGTCTTTATTCAAAAGCTACACAATTTTGGAATAACAGCTTTTAAGGGTAAAATCTTTAACTCTTCAGTTATAGCTTTAATCACTTAAGCCTTTGAATTAAGGATAAACTCTTTAACTCCTGAGTTCCCCTATCATTCCTCCTATTAGTTTCTAATGATCTTACTTTATAGAATTAGCTTATAAAAATTAAAACAACATAAGATAACAAAAGCTACACAATTTTAGAAGAATGGCAGTCTTCTGCCTCAAAGCCCATCCCTTCTAGAGCACCCAAATAAGAATAACCCTGCCACCCTCTTCCAGGCCAGCCTAATCCTAGGCTGTGCCTGGAGTTTCTCCTCCCATCCAAAATACATCCAAAATGCCATCCTTTGGGAAATGTAGGCAGCTGCAGCATGATCATCCAGGCATCCTGAAGGAAGAGAGCCTGAGACCCAGTCTCTGCCTCCCTTTTATTTTAACTCTTCTGGCCATGATATCACATACTCTGGAATTGTTCAGCTTCTCAATCTAGTCCTAGACTTTTACCATTGCAACCCTCCTATGTCCCTTCCCAGTGATCTGATCAGATCTCTTTGTATTAGAAGGAGTGAGTGAAAGGATGCTGACCCTTTAAATTCCCTGGGTGTCTCTTCAGTTAGAGAGGACAGGCTTGAAAAAAGAAGGTACATCACAATGGCCACTTGTCTCTTTGTCTTCCAGTCTCTGTGGTTGGAAGCATCAATCAGTGGTCACAGCACAGATCCACAGTATTTGAAGGACAGGTTTTTGTTTTGTTTGTTTTTTTGTCTACTCTGGCTCCCATAATCTATGTGAAAGCTGCTCCAGGGAGAGTTGCACAGCTGCCTGCCATGAGGCTGAGGGTGGGCAATGGGTAGATGCTCCTGTGATAGAAGCTGAAATTGACCAAAATCAATGCAATTTATCATCCAACCTTTCCCCTGGGAGTTGAAGGCCTCCGATAGACTCCAGAATTCTAAAAACAGTTACCTCAGGCAGATTCTGCCTGTGCAATCATTGTCTAAGTAGGGAGTCGTATTCCTGGTGCTTTCTTCACTGCCATCTTCCCAGAACCAAGTGAGTATATTTTAAAGAGAATAATGTAGCAACATTGATCTTTTCAATAAATAAAATATTGATTCACACAGAAGGGGACATTTAAAATGGCCAGGTCAGATGGGAAGAATACAGTATATCTTTGAATATGCAGCAATAGAGATGGTGTTGGCATCAAATTTATCCTAGTTTTTTATCTTTCCCTACAGAAAAGTGGACAGTGATCACTCCCATGGGACACTTGGTGGCTACAGTAGGAGGACAGGCTGAGCTTAGCTGCCAGTTGTCGCCACCACAAAGTGCAGAACACATGGAGGTGTCCTGGTTCCAGGGTAATCATTCCAAGCTTGTTCACCTATACAGAGATGGCCATGAAGTGAATGGGAACGCTGCTCTAGAATATGCGGATCGCATAGAGTTTGTGAAAGAGGCCATTGGGGATGGCAAAGTGACTCTCCGACTTCATAATATCAGCATTTCTGATAATGGACCATACCAGTGTTCATTCAAGGACAGTGAATTCAGGGGTGAGGCTGTCATGAACCTGAGTGTCACAGGTAGGTTTATGGTGGAACATTGCATACCAATGGTCTTGTGGTCTCATGAGCTGAAATATGTAGAAAATATATTATTTTTTATTTATTGTCTGTTTTACATTTTACACAATTCTTCAAGTGTTATAAATAGTGGGAAAACCCCCTATATCTATTGCAAAAATATACTATGTAGTAAATAAATAGAGCTGGGTGACCAAATATAGTTTAATTTGTACCTTGGATGTGGATTTGAGTATTACCCCTTCTTATATTGCAGAATATAAGATTAATGAGACTCTTTTACTTTCAACTTTCTTTTTTAATAATAGTTTATTTTTATTATATTTTCCATCCCTCTCATACTTTTTTCCACCTCCACCTAACCCTCTCAGCCCCCAGAATCACCACACTGTTGTCCATGTCCATAAGTCCTTGTTCTTTTAAGTTTGATCTCTCCACCCCCACCCCCACAGTTGTCAGCCTGCTCTCTATCTATGACTGAATATCAGTACAATAACTATCTTGATTTCTGTCTCATTTACCCAGCATTAGGCTTGGAGACACAGATCTATATTCAGGTTCCTAGTACTGGTGGACTTACATTGGAGTGTAATTCAGGAGGCTGGTTCCCACAGCCACAGATGGAGTGGAGAGACAACAAGGGAGAGGTGGTTCCACATTTATCAAAGTCCTATTCACAGGATGAAGCTGGATTATTCTACGTGAAGATGATTGTTTTCCTCCAAAATAAATCACAGGGCAATGTGATTTGCTACATTCACAACCCCCTGTCAGGGGAAGGGAAGCAAATAAATGTCTTCTTAGCTGGTGAGTGTTTGGTAGGGTTTGGTTGTCAATAAAGCAACATATAGGGAAAATAAATGAGATAATTAATGTTAAAAAGCTTTGTACATTATCAAGCAATATTGGAATGTGACTCTTTACAATTGTTATGGGCTTTGGTACACAGATATTGTTAGGTGCTGAGAGGAGGGCTTTAGTGGAAAAAATTAGAAGGGTAACAACAACCCATAACTGAAATACACATTAAAGCTTTAAAGAGAAATTTGTTACCTCATTAGACCCTCATAATATTGTCAACACAAGAATATCCAAACCTGTAGAGAATTTTTATGAGTTTATTTGAGCCAAACTGATGACATGCCAGAAAAAAGATTTCAAATACTCATAAGAATGACAGCTTTGCAGTTCTTTTTATACATTTTGAATTAAGGGAGAAACATGAGGAAAATTACATGGAGGTGGGAGAAAGCCAGTAGGGAAAATCTCTATGATTAGGTTACATGATATTTAACAAGATTATGTATGTGATCCACTGAGAGTGGTTATGCCTCCCAGGAGTCTGAAAAAGAGTACTCTGTCATTTCAAAGGTCTGTTAATCTAGATGCACAAGAACAATGGATATGGCTTGATTAAGGTGAAAATATACCTTTTGCTAAAAAAGTTATAGGCCTAAGGTATGATTACCCATCATGACCTGCCCAGTTAAGGACTTTATGATCAAACCACCCTGTGAGGTTACTTTTGGTCACTAGTTTATTACGGAGCCCCATTTTCATTCACAGCCTTCATGTTCAAGCTTAACAAGTTTTTAGCTCAGTGACTTAAAGGATGTCATTTACCTTCCTAACTATAGTTTTCTCATCTTAGAAAGAAGTATAATCATACTTGATGGGTTTTTGTGACATGTTGTAATACAAATGTATTAGTGGAAGCAAAAATCTTTGCTTACTATTATTTAATATTCTATACTAACCCTATCTTTACAACTTCCTGAAAATTCAGTAAGAAAAGATTATTATGGCCATTTATAGGTAAATAGATATTGAGAGAAGCCAGTCAAATCAACAGTAAGTAAAATGTGGAACTAAAGCATGGGTTTCTGATTATTGGTCGATACATCACCTTCAGAAGCATGGTGGCTGGACATCAAAGGCCAAAGAGGAAAAGGCTATGTCTCATGTGTGACAAAGGTATCCTCACTAACACCTATCAGAGAAGTCTAGGCTGATTATGGGAAGAGAGTGGTGGGTCCTCAGATGTCACTTCAGGGAGTCTCCTTCTAGTCAGAAGGCACAGCCTTTTATCTTAAATATCCTTTCTAATCTTGGAGGATTATAAAATGGACTGAAAAAAAAAAAGAGTGTTACCCTGACTAGATAGGAGTCCATAACAATGATCTGGGAAACAGGTATGGCAGAAAAGGTAGTAACAGTAAGGTTCTATGAATATTTTAAATGCAGTGCTGGTGGGACTCAATGATGGATTGAATGTATGATGAGAGAACAAAAGGGATAAAATACAATTCTGAAGTTCAAGGCTTGAGTCGTGAAAGATAAGTTTTCACCTACTGAGACAGGGAAGTTTGTGAGATGAGCATATCTTGGAGACAAAACCATACCTATAAGACATGAAATGAAAATGTTAACTAGGAGGTAGATATGCATTAAAATTCTGTGCAAGAGGTGAGGCTTGAGACATAATGTGAATGTCTTCAACCACAAAAGGAATGAGAACAGAAAAAAATAAAAGAACAGAATCCTGGAACTGAATTTTGGAGCATACCTTTTAGATGACCTTTGGGCGACTAAGAGAAACCTGCGAAGTATCTGAGAAGGAATGAGGGAAGAGGGAGGGAAAAAACAAACAGGGCAGGCAAAGAGCAGTATTTAGAAGTATTTGTTTTGAACACATCCATTTATCAATGAGAAAAATAATTTCCATTTTAACCTTTTTAATCTTCTTAATGTTTCTTACTGTTTCACTAAAGATAGTTGTTTCCTATGTAAATTAATAAGAACTGTATATGATAGATGAATTCAAGTATTAGTTTCAGATAGAATTCAAACTAAAATAGGATTTAAAATAAGCATAATATTTGAAAAAAGAGCCCCATCTGATGCAATTAAATGAATAATAACCAAAGTCAAATTATATAATAATTAATACATTTTGAAGAAAAAGACTTTCATGAACTATGTGAGCAATATTATTATCATTTTTTACATTCTATGTACTAAATAAAGATCTCACACCTTTATACAACTCACAAGTATTAAACCAGTTTAATTTAACATAAACATGAAATCTGCACAAACATTGTATGGTAAACTTTGCTTTTCCTGAAAAGCTATCCAAAAATGTTATTGCTATTATTAAAAAGTACCAAATATATGGTACAGGCAAATATACAATCAAAAGACAAATATATATTTTCTTAATTATGCACTAGAACAAAAATAATAATAAAAGGCAAAAACATCCAATGAAAATCTTGGAAAAAATAGTATGTGTTTACCATTAGCCATAAAATGCATGAGGTCACAAGCCAGATAGAGAACCTACTTGAAAACAATACATATTCTGCCTGAAAGACCTCAGAAAAACACATATTTATGGAGGAATACTGTGTTTTGAATGGGAATATTTATGTCCATAAAGATAAACATAACCCAGAATCAATATAATCATGTCATTATAATCAGTTTTAAAATTATGAAATTTATATTAAATTTCATATGCTATTATATGGATTTATATTGAATTTCATAAAATTATATGAAATTTATAATTTATAATTAAAATTATAAATATATGGCTTTTGTTTTTAATTATAATTCACACACAATATATTAGTTTCAGGTAAAAAACATAGTGATTGGACATTTCTATAACTTACAAAGTGATCACCCCGATAAACCCAATACCAATTTTGTACCATACACAGTTATTATAATATTATTGACTGTATTTCCTATGCTGTACTTTACATCCCCATGTATTATATTCAGTTTTTATAATCTGATAAAATAAATTCTACCTCCTTATTTATTTAACCTTTTCTCTACCACTTACAGATATTCATTCTTCCATACTAACTTTAATATTGCTTTATCCAACTTTTATTTTTTAAAAAGGATCTCCAAAAGATTTTTATCTGAAATGTCTTTAAATGAAGAAAGTGATTTTGAACAATGAACAGTTAAATAATTTGTGGTAATTTATGACCATAAACTATTGTTTACTCTCACAGGAAAAAGCTATTGTACCAATAATAAAAATTAAGGAGGGTAGAATGAGATACAGTTCATAAGGAAACAGTGTATACCAAATTGTAATGTATGAATTTTAGTGCATTATTAAAAGATGGAACAGTTCCTATGTAATGTTGCAATAATTAACAATACCTCGCCCTGGCTGGCGTAGCTCAGTGGATTGAACGCGGGCTGCGAACCAAAGTGTTGCAGGTTCGATTCCCACTCAGGGCATATGCCTGGGTTGCAGGCCATGACCCCCAGCAACCGCACACTGATGTTTCTCTCTCTCTCTCTCTTTCTCTTTCTCTCTCTCCCTTCCCTCTCTAAAAATAAATAAATAAAATCTTAAAAAAAAAACAATACCTCAGGAAGAAAAAGACTCTTGCATATAAATCTATACAAAAATAAATTTCATATGGATTAGAAATTAAGTACTGCAATGGAAACAAACACTTTTGGAGGAAAATACTGTATTAGAGGGAACTTAAAAATGCAAACCATAGAAGAAAAGAAATATCTATTTGTCTTCATACTGTTATACCTTAAGAGCTCCGGAGAGGTGATTCTGAGGCTGTCTTAGGGCCATTGAGCTTATGAATGAGTTATGGTGTCCAGGGTTCTGCTTGATTGTTTTCTTTCTAATCAGGAAGGCTTTGTACTGGAATGTTAGAAGAGACAAAGGAGGGACTTCATTCCATTATAGCCTCAGTTTAAATTCTATCCCCAAAACACTCAATCCCAGGCTCTGTACTTGCCAGTAAAATAGCTCCACTGATCTTTAGCCCTGACTCAAATATGAAAGTAATAATAATAAAAATAAAAATAAAGAAAATGCAGAATCTGAAAGGGAATGCTCCTTATTAGCAGTAAAATCCCTAATTTAATAGTGGTTCATGTCATGGGTTTATTGAACTTCTGATTGTTGTGCTCTTTCTTTCAGACTCCCTGTTTGATCCAGTCCACATCTTGCTGATAGTTTTAATTTCAGTTTTCTGTGTGGTACTACTTTTGATTGGTGTGCTCCTACTCTGTCAATATTTCAAAATAACAGGTAACTGCCGGAACAAGGGTGTAATCACTTAGGGCACGTCTTTAAGTGTGATGCCCAAGTCACACAGGGTGCTTAAGCAAAGCTGTCTGACATTTGTCAGAACGTGCCAAGGCTTACATAGAATGACTTAGGGCTTGTTTCTCACTTTAGATGTGTTAGTCTTCACACCTGTCACTTACGAGCTTCTCAGGACAAGGATTGTTTGAGGACTGAGGTCAGTATGTCTCCTGAGCTGCTCAGGCCCCCAGTTACTTCTGTGCCCACAAAGGAGTGTTTTCTCTCTTAGAAAAGAGTATGTTCAATTGAAATGAAGTAGAGCCAACCTCTGCTTCAGTCAAAATAACTGAGTGATGGCTGAATCCTGCGTTTTCTCTAGGATACTCTTCATTCTATTGCCATCTTTCTGCCTGCAAGGATTGCCATTAATTTTTGAGATACTACCTCCATTCAAGGACTTGAACAAAACTAACATGAAAAAGAAATGGGTCTCCAAACTAATGTGTCCTTTCTAACCAGACTGTTTCTTTGGGTTTTATGGCTGAATTCAATGATTGTATCAGTTTTCTTTATGAATATATCACTAAATACTGCTATGGATATTGTGGCCCATCAGCTACAAGAATATTAAAAATGACTTTTTCCCCAAAATATGACCAAGCAAAATAGCTCATATACAGTTGAATAAACTGTGAAATAAGGGGTGTGAATTTGGAGACTG